TCACTCGTGTTCTTTCACTACATTGGGTGACGGTTCTCAATTTTGTGTATTTCTGCCAATTCCTTCTGCATCATAGATGTTGGTCTTTAATCAGTGATTTTGTTGTTTAGCTGTTTTGAGTCATGTCCAACTCTTCATGACCCCATTTGGAGTTATCATGGCAAAGATACTGGAATGCTTTGCCATTTCCTTCTCAAACTCATTTTACAGATGGGAAAACTGAGGCAAACAGGGTTGAGTGACTTGCCCAGGGTCACCCAGCTAGGAAGTGTCTGAGAGCAGATTTGAACTCAGGTCTTCCTAACTCTAGGCCTGGTGCTCTATGCACTATGGCACCCCCAGCCGTCTTTTAATCAGTGATACTTGCCAAATATTTGTCCCATTTGGCAGTATCTCTTCTTAGCTCCACCACATTGATTTTTTTTTAATTACAAAAATTTTGGATTTGTTTAGTAACAATTGTCTCTTTCTTATTTTAAGATCTCCTCTATCACTTATTTGTTTCCGGAGTCTTCCTCTGGCCATAGTCCTGAAACAGATTTCTTTTATTTCTTTTTTTTAAGTTGTCACCTTTCATGTTTGGTGTTTGTTGTAGTAAATGATGTAAGAAGCTGATCTAAATCTCATTTCTGCCAAATTGCTTCCTGGCTTTCCCAGCAGTTCCCACCCCCAACTGGAAATTGTTTTCCTCAGTAATTCATGTTCTCAGTTTTCCACTGGGCTACTTTTCTGAATTGCTGCTGGTCCTTGCTTATCTAATCTATTCCATTGTTGTTCTTTTCTATCTCATTAGCACTACACTAGGTACAAATTTAGTTTTGTTTTTAAAAAGAACTTTATGATTCTGCTTTTTAATATAATTTGAAGCTGGTAATACCTACTTTCATTCTTATGTTTTTTTTTCTTGTTACTTCCTTTGAGATCTCAACCTTATGCCCCTTCAACTGAATTTTGTTATCTTGTCTACTTCTAAAAGAGTACACTATCAGTAGTTTTGTGGGACTAGTGTAGCACTGAATCAGTAAATTAATTTGTCTTCAAATGTGTGGAAGAGGTAGTAAACCTGTTTGGCTTAGCTGCAAAAGGCAGAACTGGTGGCAATGGAGGGGTGAGGGTGGGGAGAGATGTTAGGAGAACTTCACAAAAAGCAGAGGTACCTGAAAGTGCAATGGGGCTGTCTTGGAGGGTAGTGAGTTTCCTGTTCTTGGAAAGCTTCAAGCAAAGGTTGGACAGACCATTAACTGAGAATCTGATAAAGAAGATTCTTGTGAATTAGACTAGATGGCCTCTGAAATTGCCCCCGGCACTGAAATTCTGCTGTTTTTGCCAGTGGGATAATTCCTTTGCCTGCTTGCTGAGAGCTGAAATGTCTCCTTTAATCGTAAGACAGAAACCTATTCTGTACCAATTCATTGGGCTCATCTGCCTGCAATTTTATAATATACTTGTGTGTTAGTTGGAAGGGGTCAAGGGGGTAACCAATCTGTCTGAAAAGGCCTCTCGGGACACATGTGACATCATGAAAATTCTACCATGGAAGAGGACACTCTGGGAAGTCCGAGGGACCAGCTGATGGAGATGGCAGGAGCCGTTGCTATTTTCCCAAATGGTGAACAACACAAATGATGTCATCAGAGCTGCTGGAGGGCCCACAACAAATTGGTTTGAATCCTTGGGCAAATCCACACAGAATCCCATCTCAGGGTTATGGCCCAACCTGCTTGGGGCTCCGGGATAGAAGGGAGGCAAGCAGGGCCATGGCATAGGGCTGCCCTGAATGGGTGTCTTCTCCCTTCCAGTTCTGGGAACCTGCTCTAGAACCATCATGATCTTACATGAGTCAAGGGTCAGCCTGAAACAGAGGGCTCTGATGGCAATTGTCATCCATCCCATGCTATATAGGGAGGGCCATGCATGGGAAATGATGGGTAAGCACCAATGTGGAAGGAGCAGAGGAGGGTAGGAGGGAGGGAGAGATGGCACATGCATACACACACACACACACACACTCACTCCTTCACGCTCTGCTGAAATTGAATCCTCATTCTTGAGCTCTCATGTCACTGCCTTGGCCCGTGGTTCCCAGCAGACTGATGCAGTCAAGCTGTTCTCTCTTCTCTCTCACTTTCTCTCATTCTCTCATTCTACAATTGTCTCTGTCTTCCTCCAAGGGAAAGACCTGGCTGATGAAGTCATGGGAATAAACACTCTGTCTGCTACTGAAAACAGAAGTCATCATATGGAAGGAAAGTCTTTGTGTGGGTGGCTTTATGCTACTCTACCCCCTACAACTTGTCAACAACCTCCAGGAATAAGCAGCAGTAGAACTGTGATTCCCCTTCCTCCCCATCCCCCTGGTCCTCTGCCCATCCATCCATCCATCCATCCATCCATCCATCCACCCATCCATCCATCCACCCATCCATCCATCCATCCATCCATCCATCCATCCATCCATCCATCCCTCCATCCCCCCATTCATCCACCCATCCATCCATCCACCCATCCATCCATCCATCCATCCCTCCATCTTTGCACATCCTGAGGCCCCTTGTTTCAAGATTCCATCCTGCCAGGCACAGGATGACCCAATGAAAACCCAATGAAAACCCTCAGACTCTCATCTCACCTATAGGGAGGCAGCTTGGGAAAATGAAAGGACTCTGGGCTTGAACGCAGAAGACCAGGGATCCAAGATATAAGCCAATATAAAAGTCTGTCTGTAGCTCCCCACACCCAATTACTCAATGGCAAACCCAGAATCTGAACCTTTAAAGCCTTTCATAACCTGACCCTGCTCCTTCCTTTCCAGTCTTCATACACCTTACTCATCCTCGCATACCCTGTAATCCAGTGATTACAGCTGACCTACCAACAAGAACCTCCATCTCCAGCCTCCAAGCATTGGCACTGGCTGTGCCCCAAGCCTGGAATGCTTTCCCTCCTCATCTCTGCCTCCTGGCTTCCTTCAAGTCCCAACCAAAATCCTGCCATCTCTAAGAGCACCCCTCAATACTAGCGCCTGCCCTATGGATTCGCTCCCCTGTACCCTGTATTTATCTTGTTGGCATGTAGTTCCTTACATGTTGTCCCCCACCCCATTAGACTGTGAGCTTGCCTTTCTTCATCCCCAGTGCTTAGCACACAACCTTGGCACACCGTTGGTGCCTAATAAATGCTTATTGACTGACTGACAATAACTGATTGATGAAACATGTTACCCACCTCCTGATGAAGAGCAAAGGTTCATAAGGAGCCCTATCTTTCTGGCCATAGCCACAGCGTGGATTCATGCGGCGTGGCTATGATGGTTCTTATCAGAGCCTTTCCACTTTTTTCTCTTGGAAAGGTCAAAGTGGGGGAAGGAGCAATAATGATCCTCCCCCCAAAAAGGGTCGTTGTAATATGTTTTTGGTGCACAGGAAAGGACAAAAAAAAATCAGCCAGAAGCACAAAGAGGACAGTCTTGAAAGTAATGTGTAGAATTTGTTTATTTTAAAGTAAGCCATACAAAACAGAGACTCATGGGTTCCTCTATAATCCTCATTTTCTGCTCTGATATTTCTGTGGAAATGCTCTTTTTTTCTGGTGAAGTTCAGAATTTTAAAAAATAATTTAAAGAGACAATTGGAGGTTGCAGTTTCTCCCCAGACTATTTCTGTGTGATGTCCAACCAGTGTAAAATGAAAAGAATGAAAATGAGATTGACAGCTGGCAGGTCTACGGCACTGTTAGGTTTACAAAGTGTTTCACCTACGTGTCTTCTTTGATCTACATAACAACCTTAGGAGGAGGTCATTACTTTACTCTCTTTGTAGGTGTAGAAACTGCATCTCATAGAAAAGAAATGACTTGTGCAGGGTCACACAGCTAGTACGTGACTCAATTCACCGAGGCCACCATCCGCTATAATGGAACTCTAAAACCACAACCTATCTCTACTAGGTAAACATGCTTCTTTCTTACTAAGTTCTGTCCAGTCCAATCCCAAAAGCATTTACTAAGCACCTACTGTGTGCCAGGTTTTGCACTAGGCTCTAGGGAATCAACAATAATAAATAGTTAACTGCTGCTCTCAACTGTAAGGAGCAGAAAACCACTGAACTTAGGGAGAGGTTGTGTACACCTCACCTGGGGATGTGTCTGGACTTTCTATAAAGGGCATTACTGTAGTCAACATCCTTCTTAACTCAGACTGATTTCTGGAGTTTTGGGAATAATGATCCCCAGAATCACAGAATGTTAGAAGACGGTGGAAGAAGGACCTTAGATGATGTGGACCAATTCCTTTATGAATGAGAAAAGTGAGCCTCAGATCTGGGAAATCACTGGCCTAGGTCCTACAGAAAGACCCATGAGGTCTTGGATTTGGAAGAGACATTGGAAATTGCCTCGTCCAATTTCCTTATTTGATAAGTGGGGAAACTGAGCCCTAGATGGTAGAGTGACCATCCCATAGAATCTTGGACTGCGAAGGGACCTTGAACATCATCTTGTTTAGCTTCCTCCCTTACAGATGAGGATACTGAGGCCTAGAGAAGAAGTAGTATTTAGGGATGAGGCTGGGCTCCAGGTCTCCTGGCCTCCTATCTGTTGCTCCCCACCCCCAATTACTCAACAGCAAACCCAGAATCTGAATCTAATCCAGGGTTCTCTTTAGGCACACCACCACCCTTAAGGCTACCTCCTTTTGTATTTGCCCAATTAGTATTTCTCAGAGGGGAGCCTCAATAATGTAAATAAAATAATAACAGCAACAATAAAAGCAACCAATGGCAGTTACATTCAAAATTTCCTTGGGAACCAATGGGATTCTCCTCCTTCCCTTGAAGGCTTCCAGCCCTGGGAAGCAGGAAGTATCAGAAACTTGAACACGTGACGATGTCCAAACATGGTGGAGAGAAACATCATGACGCAAGGAGAGCTCCCATAAACGCCCCTGCTGGTAGCTGAGCTTTAGCGAAGGACAGTGGAAGAACAGGTCTGAGCCCCTGAGGACCTTAGCTCCTCACAAAGGGCTCGGTCCACTTGGAGATATCCATGAAGATGGAGGAAGAGCTGTGATAAAGCCAGAGGCAGGGCAGGGCCCCTTCCCGTGTCCAGACATCTTTAGTCCCATCATACACCTCCATCTCTACCCGGTAGTCCCCTTCCATGCCCTGCCAGCGGCCTCCTGTCACGTACAGCTTGTCTCCCAAGGACACCATGCCACCGTTCTCATGCAGGCTGTGAAGGAGCTGAACCTGGAACAAAGATGGCAGGTGGTGAGAGCGTTGCCTTTCTTTTATTCCCGGCACTTAGCACGGTGCCTGGCACACAGTAGGTGTTTAATAAATGCTTATTGACTGACTGAGAGCCATAACAAAGATGGGGCAAAGATGAGCCATTCACTTAAAAAAGGAAAGCAGAAAAGTATCTGTTCATGAGAAACTCATGAGTGAAATCTATTTACGTGGATGTCTAACCTAGGCTCAAGGATTTAGATCCAGAAGGAACTTTAGAGATTATTCAGGTCATTTGTACAGTTGAGGAAACTGAGGCCCAGGAAGAGTACATGCTCAAACACAGCATCTGGGATGGGGGTGGTATTGCACTTGGCCCTGATCCAGCCACATCTAAAGACCAAGAGCATAGATTTAAAACTATAAAGGGCTTCTGAGGTCATTCATTGACTGCGAAAAGGGGCAGATGAGTATTTTGTGAAATATTTCAGAAAACTGAGACCCAGGGAGGTAAAGGAATTTGCTCAACATGATGCAAGCAATAAGTGTCAGAAGCAGGATTTGAACCCAGGTCCTCTGTCTCTCTAAGGCGTGTCAGGGTTGGGGTGGGGGGAGGTCGTCTATCCCCGATGTCCTTGGTCCTGACCAAGCCAGCATTGCTAAGGCTCGTCAGCAATGTCCCAGCCCAATGACATCATAAATGAAAGGGCTGTCACAGCCATTCCCAGAAAGGGCTGCTGGAGAGGAGATGGGAAGGAGCCGCCTGCCCACATTCCAGGAAGGGACAGACTGGGGGGAATCACTCCCTGGCAAGCATCGCCCTGCACCTGTCCTCCTGCCCCAGCGAGGTCAGCGTGGTCAGCTGGGTGCTGACGTCATGGGAACAGCTGCGGGGGGACTTTGGGATGATCCAAGTGTAACCCTACCCTTGAACAACATTACCAGTGGAGCGATGGAGCCTGCCCAGGGGTCGGGCGCAGGGGCAGAGCCTCTTCCTGCAGATGCCCTGGCCTGGGGGGGGCGGCATGTGCCCAGGCCTGTCCATCAAAGTTTCCAGCGACCATCCTTCTACCCCACCCTCTAGGAAAGTCTGAGAGGTAGCATGAGAGTCATTGCTGAGGATGGTCTGGGAGGAAGGATGCCTGTCCCACCCTGGACAAGTCACTTCACATGTGTGGCATGTTTCCTCATTGATAAAATGCAAAGGTTGAATTAGCTGGTCTCTGAGGTCCCTCCAATTCTATGGTCTGAAACCTGTATGACCTTGGGTCAGTCACATGACATCACTAGATGGTCTCGAAGGTTCCTCCCATATCTAGAATCCTATGGATATGGGCTGGTCACCTCATAAAAATACGGACTTAGAGTTGGAAGGGACCCATTTTATAGATGAAGAAACTGAGTCACAGAGAAGTGAGGGACTTGCCCCATATTCACACATCGAGTCAGTGTCAGAGCTGGGATTTGAACCAGGGTCTGGCTTCAAATCCAGCCCTCTTCCTACTCTTCCATGTTCATCTAGTCCTCAGAGAAATTAAATAAATTTCCCAGGGTCCCAGTGGCACTAAATGACACGTCCTTTGACTTCGGACACAGCACTCCTTCCACCAAATTGAATCTCCACGGTCACATCTGCTAAAGGAGGCTCTACCAGCCCTCTGGGTTGTGGGGAGAAAACTGCTTGGAAAACTTTAGAGAACTTGAGAAATGGGAGAAATCAATCACTCTTGTTTCTCTAACATTTTACCATCTGCAAGCCACTTACCATACATTGTCTTGTTAGAACCTCACAAACTCTCCAGTGAGAAAGGTGCTACAGCCATGATTGGCCCCATTTTACAGATAAGGAAACTGAGACTGGGAGAGGTTCAGCAGCCTGCCTGTGGTCACACAGCCAGTAAGGGTCAGAGGTGGGATCTGAGCCCAGGCATTCCTGAATACACCTCAGCCCTCACCCATGCTGCGTCTCTACAAGCACTTTCTGCCTGTGGACCCTGGCAGTTCGGACATTTATGGAATGAGGATGCCCAGGAACTTCTCACAAGATGACCATGGGACTGAAGAGTTGGAAGGAACCTCAGGAAGCATCTAGTCCAGCCTGTACACAAAGGAATCCTTCCCCTACCATCCCTGAGAAGTGGTCATGCCACCTGCTCTTGAGACCCTCCGAGGAGGGAGAGCCTATCCCGCTCTGGAACAGCACTCATCAGAAGGAAGTTTTTCCACCCAAATTGGCCTCCTGGGAATTTCTACCCTTTGCTCCTGGTTCTTCCCAGTGGGATCAAACAGAACAAACTTAATCTGACCCGTGGAAGCCTTTCAGATACATGGACACGGCTCTCACGTCCCCTAAGTCTTCTCCAAAATAGGCATCCTCGGGTCCTTCGGCTGATGCTTGTGTAATGTGACCACGAGGCCCTTCCCTGTCCTGGCCATCTTCCTCTGGACACTTTCCTGATCTATCAATGTGCTGCCTTGAGCAGAACCCAGACCTGGATACACGGTCTGACCAAGGCAGAAGACACGCTACACCTCCCTGTTCCCCCAAGTCTTGTTGCCCTAAGGCAGCCCAACACCACTTTGGCTTTTACCTCCATGGCAACATCAAGGAACCAAGCATGACCATGACAGTCGATGGGGTCTGCCCACAATGTGTTCCCACCATGCTGACCCCAAGGCGAGAAAGGACCAGAGCAGCTCCTGGGCAAGATATGCTTACCTTCCGCCACACGTTGGCTTCGGGGTCATACATGTAGACTTTCTTGGTGTTGTCCCCAATGAGGTAGACGGCCCCATTCAGAGAGGCACAGCGAGGGGAGGAGAGGTACTTGGGGATGAAAGGTGAGGCAATCGCGCTCCAGACTTCTACAAGAGAAACATGGTGAGATCGACATAGAGACTAAAGAGTCTACCTCCACCCAACCAAGGCTCGTTGCTGTGGCACATGGAATAGGGTGCTAGACTTAGAGTCAGGAAGACCCAAGTTCAAATCCAGCCTCAGATACTTACTAGTTGTGTGACCCTGGGCAAGTCACTTAACCCTATTTGCCTCAGTTTCCTCATCGATGGCCTCTATGATCCCTTCTTGCTTCCAAATCTTTGATCTTATGAAAGGAAATGCTTGAGCCATTAGCCTGAATGGTTGATGGAGGTGAAGGCCATTGATTAATCCCTGTCCTATCCAGTTAGTATCATCCAGAGAGAAGCACCTTACTCAAGGTCAAAGATTGCACTCCAGAAAATGAGAGACCATGCTCATAAAAGAAGCCACATTTCTATGAGATCACAGACTTGGGGCTAAAAGGAACCCCTTCATTTTCCACAAGAGATGCTGATGCCCACAGCTGTGGGTAGGAATTTGCTCAGTGTCCTACTGGTGACTAAGTGAAAGAGCTGGAATCTGAACCCATCCAGCCCCTTAAGGTTTACCAAGCACCTTCCTCATGGTCAAGTCTGAGTGGTCAGTAGTGCACATACTGCCGTTCCCATTTTATGGATGAGGACGATGAGGCTGAGAGCCCACCTAGGATGGATGGTTACACAGCTAGCAAGTATCAGGAGCCAGGTTTGTGATTCTCATTCCAACAGTTGTTACTACTATTTTGCCCTGCTGTGTTTCTAGGCATAGTGTGAGAGTGTGGGGAGCTTTATTCCAAGTTCCCTCATTGAGTCTCATCATTCCTGGCAAGAGCTCATTGGAGGAACTGGGGATATTCAACCTGGAGGAGATCCAGGGGCATGATCACTGCCTCCAAGGACTGGAAGAGGATTAACCTTATTCATCCCAACCTCAGGGTCATGACTAGAATTGGAATAAGACAGACTTAGGCTGAATGTCAGGAAACTCTTTCTAACCATCAGAGGTAATTGTTATCACCAGGTGAGTGGGCAACTTTGAGAGGTGGTGAGTTTCCCCTCCAGCTGGAGAAGGACCCGCTGGGGAAATTACAGTGGGGATTCTCCACCATTTTGAGTTGGTCGAGATGGCTGACGAGGCCCTTGCCCAGTGTCAGACTCCCTGAAGCCTGGAAGCCCTCACGAGGCAGGGGCTCGGCTGCTGTCAATTTTCCCCAGCTTCATGAAGGAGCCCATCTCGGTGCCAGGCCTTCCTCCATAGCCCGGGCCCACCCGGCCCTCCGCCCACTGTCCCACACAGCGGCCGCTCACCTGTGACGGGGTTATAGCACTGTAGGGTCAGCGCATTGTATTTGCAGGCACACGAGCCCACGAGGTAGAGCCTCCCGTGGCAGCCAACGGCAGAGAAGTTACTCACATACTTCAGTGCTGGACTGATGACCGACCAGCTGTTGTTGTATGGGTTGTAGCTTTCTACCTCTACCACGTCCATGGTGGTACCTAGGAAGGGATGGACATGGATGACACACTCATGGGGGAAAGCCCAGGAACAGAAAGTGACCGCAGAGGCCGTCTGACCCCCTCACTTTACAGATGAGGAAACTGAGGCCCAGGTCATACAAGTAGGAAGTGGTAGAGCTGGGATTTGAACTTGGGTCCTATAACTTCTAGTTCATCAGTCCAGTGGGCCTCCTTGTACCAAGCACCAGACTAGGTGCTGACCACACTTAGGCATGCCCTCAGGGAGCTTTCAATGTCCCCATAAAGGTATGCTAAATCAGAAATCAGCAGCCTCTTTAAACCTGTGGGGCTTAGCCATGATCACAAGTGCCCCCAGAGCAGGTCGAAAGCACAGGAAAAGAAGGAATAATAACAGCTCATGTTTCTAAAAGACTTTAAATTCACTGAGTCAATCAGTCAGTCAACAAGCTTGGGTCCTTTTACCAGAGAGGAAAGTGAGGCTCAGAGAGGAAGGCTCGTCCCCAGTGAAACGGCTAATGGAAGCCAGGACCAAAGCTTGAACCTCTCCCCACATCTGAATTCACTGTTCTTTCTACTGTGCTAGAACAGGGAAAAGTGAAGCAGGAAAAGGAAGAAGACAAAGGTGCCCATGGTGGGAAAGCATTGGAGGCTCTAGCCTCAGGGAACACTCCGTTTGGTCAAGGCCATGACCCTATTGGTGAGGAAACAGGGCCATCAAAATGTCAGCAAAATGACTTACAGATTCCTCTAGAGATTCTTACTCTCGAGGGGACACCAAGTCACCTGACTTCTCCAGGCCCTGAATTCCTCATCTGAGACATGAGGTCACTCAGTGACCTCCACTGTCCCTTCCAGCTCAAGATTCATGATCCTCAGAAGCTATGAGCCCATCCCTCCTAGTATGGTATCAGGCCATTCCATACAAGGCAGCAGTGGGCTGCTGGTTGGACCTCCTTGGCCTCTACTAGCTCATGTGGGTGAGCTGGCTAAGTTTAAAGGCATCCTTCGAATGCCAGGGGGGGCTTCACCCCACTGTCAGGGGGCCTGTACTTGGAGAGTGGGTGACATATTGGAAACATGGTGTCTGGAAGTTAACTGCCCTGACTCGATTGAGCTCAAGGATACAAGTCAAGGCCCACCCACTGAACCTGCAGAAAGTACGGCAAAATAATGTGGAAGCCAGAGTCTCACAGACCATAGTCACAGATTCAGCCCCAAATAAACAAGGAATACAGGTGTCCAAACCCAAATGAAATTGAGGTGATCTAAACTCTGTGGATAGAGTGCTGGGCTTAGAGTCAGGAAGATTCATCTTCCCAAGTTCAAATCAGCCCTCAGACACTAGCTGTGTGACCTTGAGCAAGTCACTTAACCCTGTTTGCCTCAGTTTCTTCACCTGTAAAATAAGCTGGAGAAGGAAATGGCAAAACTATTCCAGTGTCTCTCAAGAAAACTCCAAATGGAGTCACGGAGCATCGGATATGACTGAAAGGACTGAACAACAAATGGAAATCAAGCTTGGGTTTCACTAGACTCTGAGTCTTCGGGAAATTCAGAAGGCAGACACATTCATTCACTCATTCAAAAGACTTTTATCAAACCCTTGTTATCTGCAAAACACACAGTCTGTTAGGCATCATAGGAGATCAATATATCACTGCCTCTATTTTCAAGTAACTTATAGTCTAATTGGGAAAACGATGTGCTCAAATGACAATGATTCAAAATGGAATGTGATCAGCGGCAGGAGAGAGGTCTGAAAGACTCCGAGAATTCAGAGGATGATCTGATCTCTCCCAACAGGACAGATCTGGACGGGCTTCAGTGAGGAGGTGGCAGTGGGGACGGGTCCTGGAAGATGTGCTCTAACCCCAGTGACATGAGGCTTGGCAGAAGGATAAAAGATGGGAAGAGGTGAACGTCGCAAATGCGGTCAGGACTGCTGCAGATGTCATGGACCACAGATAATCTTTGCAGACAAAATAATATTTGGAAACTCTGCCGAGAGGGATGTACTCGGAAGCTCTGCCCACGGTTCCCCAAATGGGGATGTTTACTAGATTAAATAAACAGAAAGGAGGAAGCCGTAAAGCCAGCTGGCCCTCACCCCCAATGGCGTAGACCTCTCCATTGAGCGCGGCGCTGGCGTGGTTGGTGCGGGCTTTCAACATCGGGGCAATAAGTTTCCAGATGCCCTCCTTCTGTGAAAAGCGCCAGGCCTGGGTCGTGGACCAAGTGTCTATCTTGCTGCCGCGGGAACCACCTGCCAAGAAACACCTCAGTCAGGGGCAGGGGCGAAAGCGTAGGCACGACGCCTCCTCCCTCCCTGCGGCGAGGGGAAGTTCCTGGGCCACTGACAGTCCCCATCCTCATCAGTGGATGTTAAGCACCCACTGAGCTTAGGACCCTTCTCAGCTGCCCCTTCAGCTTCCTTCAAAGAACCCCGAAGCTCAGAGCTGGAACCTCAGAGCCACCTGGCTCACCCCACACTGGGACAAGATTCCCCTCACCAACCTCCCTGGCGAGACCTCATTCAGCCACGGCTTCAAAGCCTCTGGGGAGAGGGACCTATTGTGCCTCAGGGCACCCACTGCACTTCGGGGTGATTCCAGTCACTGGCAAGTTCTTTGTACTGTCTAGTCTAAATGGCCCTTGGCAACTTCCATCCACGGGGTGGCCTCTTGGAAAAATGAGGAGGGGCTGGAGATGGGCAGAGGGGAGCTGGAGGGCCCCCCGGCGTAATGCCGGCTTCATACACAGGGTGTAGGTCCCCAAAGTCAGCAGGATCCTAAGTCGGCATAGCATTACACCTTCAGGAATTAAGTCTAGCGGCCTTAAAGCTATTAAATCTTCAATCTGTCCTAAGGCTTTGGGCACCCCCTCTCTGGTTGGCTTCACCTCCCTGAAGTCATGGTCCTCTTCCAGAACGAAGGACAAGGTTTGTAAAGCACCTTGGATGTGTTAGCTCGTCTAAACCCCACGACAGCCCTGCGAAGTGGTACTATCATCATCCCCACCTTACAGATGAACAAATGAAGCTTCAGATAGTGGGGGAGACTTCTGACGGTCACGCGGTTAGTGTTAGTGACCAGGCTGCTTGACGCCCGGTAATCCTGACTCCAAGCGCAGTGATCCGTCCGCGTCACCATGGATGATTGCCCAGAACCGTTCAGAGACATCCCTTGTCCTACCACTAACCAGCTGCATGACCTTGGGTCAGCCATTTCACTTTTAGGGGCCTCCATTTTCTCATCTATAAAATGGGAACAATCATACCACCCAGATCAAATGAGTGGTTGGCCCAGTAGGAGGCTGGGAATCTTTTTAGCCCAACAACTGGGAAATTGCAGGAAAAGGAAATTCAATTTTTAATAAACATAGACAGTGCGGCACCATCCTTAGCTTCCCTGTTGAAGAGCTGGGGCTACTCGAGGGTGGGAGGCCACAGAAGGGGGGTTGGTCATGCAGAGCTGAGGCAAGGACGCCCGGGAGCACTGAGGCACATGTCCAGACTCTGCTCAGGTACAAAGGGCAAGGCTTTCAAAGGCTCATGAACATAAGGGATCAGCTCCTGGGATGGGAGTGCCGCTCCCAGACCCTGATGGCCCAGGCACCTCCGATGACAGCCGGGACCCCAAATAAACCCAGGGAGGCGTCGAATTAGGCAGAAGAATGTGGCCTGGAATAGATGACCCCCCCCCCCCCCAGGACTCCAGTGAGCAAGAATAGAACTCAGAACCGAGGCCTGAAATCGAAGCCCCCATGGAGTGCCCTGGGCGGAGCGCACTACCTTCCTCCTCCTACGTACCTGTGACGTAAATATCGTTGTTCAGTGCCACAAGAGAAAAGCCCCATTTGTGGTAGTCGGGGAAATCGGGAAGGGCTGTCCAGCGTTCTGATAAGGAAGGAGAAAGGGGTGAGTGAACGTCAGAGGACGGACCACGAAGTAAAGGCTGTGACATCTGATCAGAAGCATCGGCTCTGGGCAGGGAGGGAGGGAAGGCGCTCGAGCGCAGAGGTCGGGACGCCTTCTTGCAGAAGGTGGGATTTTAGCCGGGACTCGAAGGAAGCCGGGACAGCCACGGGGTGGAGCCGAGGAGGGACAGCATTCCACGCCGGGAGGACGGCCGCCGAAAAGGGCCAGAGCAAGAGAGGGAGCTTCTTGGGCAAGAATTACAGAGAGGTCGACGTCACTGGCCTGAAGAGGACTGGAGGCGCGCAGGGAGCCGGCTTCAGAAGGGCTTGGAAAGCCAAGAGGGGCCACAGGGAGCCACAGCAGCTTATGGAATTGGGGTGAGGGGAGGCTGACGTGGTCAGACCTGCATTTTAGAAAGATCAGTGACAGCGGAGTGGGGAGAGACGTGAGGCTGGGAGACCCCCCGGGAGGTGACTGCAATGGTCCAGGTGTGACAAGGGCCCGCGTCATTCCCACAGGGAATGAATGGTCCACCCTGGGAGGTGACAGGCCGCCCTCCTTGGACGTCGGTGGCCACCCTGCAGTGGGTGCCTCTCAGGTATGGCCGCTGAGGAACCTTCCAGTGCTACAGGTCCGTGATTCTGGACCGTTGCCGGCTCTCTGGAAGCCCAGGAGCCTTGCCTAAAACGTTCTCTAGTTTTGTCAGGTTTCAGAGACAAGCTCACCTTTGGAAGAGACGCCTTCGAGTCTGATTTACATCTAGCCAAGACCTTACCCTACTTTTGAGTCTGGATGACCTCCTTTTCCTTAATGAAAATATTAAGAAGTAAGCATTTCTCCATTCTAAACTCATCTCCAGACTTCTCTCAGTAAAGGAGACCTTATGTTCAATCATTTTTCAGTCACAGCTGACCCTTGGTGACCCCATTTGGGAGTTTTCTTGGCAGAAATACTGGAGTGGTTTGACATTTCTTTCTCTAGTTCGTAGTACAGATGCGGAAACTGAGGTTAACAGGGTGAAGTGACTTGCCCAGGGTCACACAGCTAGCTAGTAATCATCTGTGGCTGGATTTGAACTCAGGAAGATGAGTCCAGGCCCAGTGCTCTGAGCACTATGGCGCCACCTAGCTGCCCCAAAAGGAAACTTTATTAACCCTTAAACTTCCAGGCAACAAGGAACTCCACTACATCTTTCCACCTACCTTACCCCTTGTCGTAAATCTAACCAGTGGGGCAGAAGGTTAAGAATGAACTCAAAGGTTCCCAAGTTAGAATGGGAAACAGGCTCATGCAGTTGAGGTCATTGTTTCCTTCCACTCTTGGCCAGAGTGAATGGCTGGGGAAATGTCACTCCCCAAATTAACTGATGTTTTGTTTATTGAAAGAAGCTGTCCACAGAAGGGTTCCCTATGGTGTGGACCCCACTCAGTCTTTGTGCAAGAGCTGTAAACTGCAATCACAAAATGCCTCGTGTCAGAGCAATGCCTGAGTATGGAGGGACTCTGCCAGTTTGGACATTTCTCGCTCCAGACTGAAAAAAAATGTTTCATTAGAATAACTCCAACTAATGAAATTGTTTCTGACAGGCTTGAGCTTAAAGTACAGAGGATAGTCTTTTTTCTTCCTCACTCACCCTACAGAAAGATGCCAACAACAAGACGGGGCAAGAAAGGATTTACAAGGGGTTGGTAGGAGACTGCCTTCCTAAGCATCCCTGTTGAGAGCTCCCCAGAGAAAGTTCCCCAGCTAGTTTTTAATCCTTCTCTTCAAAGGCAAAACTAGAAACTTTAGCACAATTCATGACAAATCTCTTCATAGGCTCACAGAATTGGAGCTGTAAAAGACCTTGGAGGTGTCTGGGGCAACCTTCTCAATTTATATATAAAGAAACTGAGGACCAGGTAAGGAAATAGCTTTCCCAAGATCACACTGGCAGTAAATACTAGACCAAGGCTTCAACCCTGATGCTCTGACGACAGAGAACATGCCTGTTCCGCTACATCACACTGCCTTTCCCATCATGAGCCATTTTCTGCCTCTTTTCCAGATGTAACTCATGGCTCAGAACCCCAAGCTCTGCATTTACATGGTCCAAGTTCAGTTTTGGGAGCTCCCTCTCACCTCAAACCACATTTCTTCCTCTGAGAACCTCAGAATGTAGCTCATGCCTAGGTTTCCAAAACTATGAATTAAAGGAATTTAGTGCTGTGAAAGCACTCAAGGTAACAGTAAACATCTGATACAGGACAACCTATACTTTACCCCACAGAAAGACTAAAAAACAACAAAGATTCACTTTGGACCATAAATAATCAGGACATGGTGCTTTCCTCCAGTAAGTCCCACCTTTCTCTCAGGCCCCTTTGCAGACCTCCAACCTCCCAGCCCCATCCCCACATTTGTACCTAACTTAAGAGGACAAATTGGGAACTGATAGAGAGGAGACCTTCACATTCAGTCCCACCGTCAACCCCAGGGATCTTTATAGACCTACATTCCTACAGTTCTACCCTAAAGGCTTGGAGTCTCCTTAGAAGAGAAATAAAGTTTGGGTTGATAGAGATGCAATTCCATTTCCCATCAGAACTGTGCCAGGCAAACAATTCGCAGTAGGAGAAGAGGGCGTATTCTAGGTTTTTGCTCCTCTGCATCAAGACTTTAGTCCCTTTCTACTCCTTCATCTTGGGGATCAAGTATTCAATCCTTTCCTCCCTCAGAAACCAGCACTGTCCAGATACTCCCCCCTCCTACATCTAAGTCCAGGAAAAACCTGTGAATCAGCACGGCCTTGCCCCTCTGCCCACCTGCTCACAGTCTGGTCTGCTCTCTTTGCTGTGATTCTTCTTTCAAACTGTCTGAATCTGGGGCCCAAGATCTCACCACCACCACTACCACCACTACTGCCGCCATACTTGTAAAGGCCCATTACCACTACCGCAGGGGAGGTTCTGATTTAGAATATTTTGAGCCAAACAAATCACTCCAGGATAATGAGGCTTCATCTAAAACAATAGTCACTTATCTTCAGTGAGGTGTAAACAGGTCAAGTACCCAGGTCTAGAAAATTCTCTGAATCCTGTCAGTGAGGGGTTAATAGGGAGATGTTGTCAAAGTCCCAAACAGTAGATTCATTCTGAGTGGAAAGGGCGCTATGTCTGGAGTCAGAGGTCCTGGGTTCATATCCTGCCTGTGACAACTCAGGATGTCACAGGCTGACTTTGGGTAGGGCACTTCATCTCTCTGGGCCTCAGTTTCCCCAACTGTAAAATGAAAAAGTTGGACCTCAAAGGTCCCTTCCCGCTCTATCTATGACCCTATGATCCTAATAACTATGGGTGAGTTGGTCAGGTTTCCCCACATGCAAAGTAAGCCCATTTCGCAACAATTCTGAGAGTCACTTGCGGTATCTTCCAACAGAAAAGATTAAGGAAGCCCTAACACACTTCTGTTCCTTCAGCCTGCTTTATTCCATCTCGACTCCCAGGGATGAGACAAGGATCAAATGAACAGGGGAAGCCGGGATGAGTCCCATGACCACATCGTGCCATAGAAAAGCTGCTAGCCCAGGAGGGTCCTGGGGGGAAGGGGAGAAACAGGAAACCCAGGGTCTAGTCTCGCTTCTCCCTCATCTGCGGTGTGTCCTTGGATTTTAGGAAGCTCATCCGTAAAATGGAGATGATGACCCTTGCAGTACATAGCACAGAGGTGCTGACTGTGTGGGCAAGATGAGACCATGACCACACAGGTCCTAAGAGGTCTCCCCGTGGCTGGTCCTTTTTTCCAGGGCACTCCATACACCACGGCTAACAGAAGCTTCCTAAGGCACAGAAGGGACCTCCTTCCTCATTCTGCTACTCAAGAATCTTGACTGGCTTCTGGATAGACTATAAACTTCTTAGCTCGGCCTTCAATGCTCTTCACAGAATGGCTTCTGCCCCCCTTTCCAAGCTCACTTCCCTCGATTTTCCTTCACAGATGCTATGCTCGGCCAAACTGGCCTATTTGCTGTTTCCCGAAGTCAACGTGTTATGTCCACCTCCACATCCCTGCATGCTGGGCCCAGAGCCTGGGATGCACTCGCTTCTTGCTCTGTTTCTTGGAGTTGCTGGCTTCCCCAGCAGCTCCGCTCAAGAGCTAAAGGAAGCCCTTCCCCCATCCTCTTGGCTGTTAGGGCTTCCTTCCCTCCAATGGTCATATCTGTAAAAGTCAAGGGAAGGGACTTTTGGTCTTCGCACTCCCAGGGCTTAGCATGGGATCTCAGAAAAGCTGCTTGGCCTCAGTTGGTGAATGGAAATGCTTTGGACGATGTCGTTAGGCTGCTGAGTGAGGGTCCTAGGGATCTGTATCCCTTTCCCCACTTTAGTGAGCTTATTCATCATCGGAGTGCCAGGCTGATCACTGCTGAGGGGCAAACTTGGGGACATTTCTGACTTTGGGTGCTTTGAGATAAGTTGGCCTGCTCCGTGTACTGACTCTATGTCCTCCACTTGCGTCATCTTGCCTGGATCGTGTCCCCTCTGATTCATGTTTGGGTCACCCTGGGAGGGCAGAGGAAAGGGCCAGACCATTGTCTCACTGGGCTTCCTGGGGGCATGCCAGCCAGGCTCCGATCTGGGCAGGGCACAGCTGCTGGGCCCGGTGGGCCAAGAGAGCTCATCACATTAGCTCAGCCTGCAATCTCTCATGCTCCCAGGGCTCCCTTCCCCAGCCAGGAACCTACTGGGGACCAGTTTTGACAGTGCCAGCATGTGGCATCGGGGCCTGACCAGAGGAGAGCTTGCTGGCCCATTCCAGATTCCAATCAGACAGCTCCAAGGGGCTTTGCTCTCTTTGTCCAGAGAGCACATGCTCCGTTCTCCCCCACCTCCTCCCTGGGCTCCTAGAAATCCAGCCAAGTTCTCATTGAGAGAGACGTCACTGTCTGTCCAGTCGCTGATTGTTCTGAGGGACACAGGCAGGATGATTTTGTCCCCATGGAG